ATGGGGGGGGGGGGGGGGGGGGGGGTTTGAATAAGAATTTTATACGGAGCAACAAAAATTTTCATACAACGCAAAAATAGTATTGTAATATTTTTTTTATTTCAACATAACTACAATTTACAAATATAAATTGTAACTGTTGCCAAACATCAAAATTTTCACACTTAGCGACCATTTTCACACTTAGCAACCGTTGCAGCATCCTCATGGTCATGTGATTAAAATTTTGATGTTTGGCAACAGTTACAATTTATATTTGTAAATTGTAGTTATGTTGAAATAAAAAAAATATTACAATACTATTTTTGCGTTGTATGAAAATTTTTGTTGCTCCGTATAAAATTCTTATTCAAACCCCCCCTCCCCCCCCCGGTCAAAGGGGTCCCTCTTTACCAAACTGAAAATCTGGTCACCTTAGTCTATAAGTAGTTAACAGAATTTAAACATCCCATCCTCAGTGAAGCCATTTAGTGGGTTTAATTCAGGTTTGCAACATATCTCAAACTTACCAATTGGGTAAATGTTATATATACTGTAGTTAGATAACTATAATGTAGTTAGATAACTATAAACTGCTATATTCCATAGCAAAATTTCTCAACCTCAGCCACTTTAAAATGTGTGGACTTCAGCTCCCAGGTCCAAGCATTCTCGTGCTGGCTGGAAAACGCTGGGAGTTCATGTCCACACATCTTAAGGTTGCTGAAGATGTGAAACACTGCTCTATGGAATACATTGTCTAACTTCTTTTAAAAGTAAATATGTGTTAGCAACTTCTGCAGTAATATCAGGCCTGAAACTATAAACTTGAAACTATAACTCAAACTTACCAATTGGGTAAATATTATATATACCGTAGTTAGATAAGGTGAATATTGTTTTCAGCTCAGAGATATCTGATCCAAAATTCTGGTGTAATTTATACAGTCACAATTGCTGATATATTTGTTGTTTGACCAAAGCAGATCAAAGCAGAATTTATGAAAGTGGATAAGATTTCTAAAAAAATATACTTTTTAATTGATGTAAAAACAGACTGGAATTAAAAAAAAAAGACAACAGAGCAATGCATTCTCACTAAGCAAACAACTGCTGCTGTAATGTTTAAGTTAGCTTGACTGGAAACATAATTAAAAATTACAAATAAATTCTAAAAAGTGTAATAATGGAGAGGCAAAAGCATTCAGATTGAGATCCAGGAATAGGATTAATATTTCTCAGTGCCAGGTTTTGATAGACATTCATTTATTTAACCTGATTTCACAGCAGTCTTATTCACTGCTTCCAATTCTCTATCAATGACATGGGTTCACAAGATGAAATGGACCTGGTTTAATCATGAATCAATTAAGGTATTGTGTTTTTAACCTAGCCTAAAAACCCAAGATGCTAATATTGTTATTGTTTAGATTTAAAATTTAAGGACCATAATTCATTAATTTTTAGGTTTAACAATAATTGTGAGATACTACAGCCCTTGTTCACTGAATACAATATCTGTTAAAGTTCATTAACAGCCTTAGGTTTTTTTAAGGATACTACTAAATAATAAAGCCTATTCTGTTTTTGTTTCTAAAATACTTAAAGATTATATCAATTTCTTCTGCACACTGTATTCAAAGCTTTGGAATGGACATGTACTAGATAGAATGAATTGTAAAACATTTATTTATTTATTTATTTATTTATTTATTTTTTATTTATTTATTTTTTATTTATTTATTTATTTATTTATTTACAACATTTCTTTTCATTCAGAAATATATTTAAAATGGTTTCCAATGAATATAATTAAAACATGGTAAAATTATAAAAACCATCTGTTTAAAAACTAAAAAGAAGCAATAATTCAGGAAGCTGATCAAAACAAAAGAAGTCCTGAATAGGGATAGAAGGTACCAAAATCTTTGGATTAGCAATAGAGGTGATCTACAAAATATAAGGAATCTTTATGAGTCTTGCAGACATGACTATGACACGTTTATGATATTTGTACATGAAAGCATGTAGAGGAGCTAATATATATGGATTAACAAAGGAAACATTAAATGAACAAATATGTTGAGCTCTTCAGTTTTGTTTGCAGCTGAGCAAAAGTGCAGATTGTGAGATATTGCTTTGAATATGAATGAGAAGAAATACTCTCTCTCCCTCTCTCATCTATCTATATTTAAGTCAAGTTTCAAAGAAATGAATGAGTGAAATAAAAGAGTGTTAGAGGTATTAAAAATAGAAAGGAGAAAAGAATTCTAAGAAGCCTCTAGTTGCCATCAACTCTGAATAGCACATGGGAAGAAATTTCTTATTCCCAGTTCTGTGTGATTTCATTACTGCTTTCCACTTGTGTAGCAAACATAACTAAAATAGAAATTGGTAGAATGTTGTTATTACTTTGCTTTTGAGAAATTTGGGGATAAAAGTGAATTGCTTTGTAATTTATAACTGCATCTAAGTAGTAAGCAAGTCTTCAACAGGGGCAAACCTTAACATTTTGAGTCTTTGTTACTTTGATTAATTGTAACTGAAAATTGTCTGTGGAATGTTTTTATTGACAAGCGAAGTCCTTTATAATTTATCCACATCAGAAACTGCATTCCCTCAAAATATTGCATCCATGTGCTGTCCAATAAATCATAGGGTTTTGGAAGACACTTTTCTTAAAAACCACCAAAGTGATGCACAGCAAATCTGAAAATAATAAAAGGTTAGTGGGAAAAGCACAAAAGCAGTAGAACACCAAGAGCAATTGAAAAATTGCTAAAAGATAGAAGCTGGACTTTTCAGTTTAAAACCAGGTTGTAGTCAATCCTTCCTTTCTTGTTTAAATTGGAAATATAACTTGTGAGCGTGCTTTATTCTCCACAGACTCTGTTTATATCCAAGGTAAACTGGATAAAAATTGGTCAGAAATGGGCCCTTCATGTGAGAGATGGAAAGGGTTTATAAATAAGTAAGAAGTCCCAAAGGTGCTTTTTCAAGAGGCAACTGGACTTTCTTGCTTTTTAAAGACATTTCGCTTCTCATCCAAGCAGCTCCTTCAACTCTGACTGAATCTTCTTGGATGAGAAGCAAAACATCTTCAAAGAAAACCAAGAAAGCCTGGGTGCCTCTTGAAAAAGCACCTTTGAGACAACCATGACCTGCATGAATAATAATTTCCATAGACAAATGAGTAGGAAGTTAATCATTTCAGAGCCACTTTGGACAAAGCTGTACTCCTTGGCAAGCAAAGTGGAGAGGATGAAAAGAAGGCAATAAAATGGCTATAAATTCACTTTTCCTCCAAAGGAGACATGGCATTGGCATATTGACTCGTAGAAGGCTTTATTAATATCTGGGCATTTGTCTAATATTCACATTTTTCAGCATGAATTTCCATCCTGTTTCCCATTTAATGGATTTTTAAGTGTCCTGGATTATAACATGGGAAGGGAAATTCAGATGGACCACTTTAGGATTTTCCTGGCAAATTCGTAATCCTGTCAACATTGCTTTATATTGCCTTTATCTGCAGTTGCAATTTTTTTTTAAAAAAAAACACCATACACACGTTTAAAAGAAAAGAGAAAAAAATGAATATTGGATGAGCAGGGTATTTTTTTTTTCTGGGCTGTGATCAATTTTCCAGCCTCTAGCATATGGTGGTGCTAGTACTTTATTTTTCAGCAATGACATGTCTTCATTTTCCTGTTGTATCAGCCTCCTGGTAGCTGCCAGCAAGTAAATCTCATCAGAGCTGAAAATACAAGCACACGTGTGGCAGGAATCACTCAATGGGAGAGACATTTTAATATCTCATGCTTCTGCTTTTCTTTCAACATGAGAAGACTGGTTGCAATTCAGACGATCCTGTCAAAGTAGGTAACCGTTTTCTTTCCCGGTAGGATGTTTGCTGTATTTGTACATTTTCTGAAAAACAACTGGCTATAACTTAAGTTCACCCCAGGAATTGTCTGTCTAATTTTCAGTGATCCCTTTTCCGTAAGGGCTGCAGGCAGATCCCACCTTTCTGTCAGTTGTGGTGTTGATTTTGGGGACGTTTTTCTCCTGCTCTAGAAAACAGACTTCTGGAATAGTACTCACTGGAAATGTAAGGGATGGGGAGGGGGAAAGTACTTCCTTTTCCACGGCAGGGAAAAACAGAGTTAGAACTCCACTAACATGCTCTCTTATGAAACTCACCTCAGGGAAATGATACATTGAACCTCATATTTCTTTTCAGGTATTTATGAATGAACACAGAACTAACTGCTTTGGTGTTCAAGTATTATCCAACTTTGAAACCATGTGCACATGTAACAGAGAAGACCATTAAGTTACTTTTCACTTTAGTAAGTACTACATACTTTTTAAGCATGTGAGTGGAAAGAAAATGTAGCAAATTAGCAAGCCAACAGGCTCCAACTTGAGGCAACTTTTTTTTCATTTTAAAAATAATCTTATTGAGAGACAACTCTGACGTCGGCTGACACGGGATTGCAAACATTTCTTTCATCTGCCAGCTCCCAAATTGACTTGAACCTAGTGGGTTTAAAGTTGTTTGATAAAGGCAGTCATACATGGCATTAATTTATGATTTGTTTTAAGCATATTTTCTTGAACGAGCTCAGTGACCCAGTTCATATATCAGAGGAAAACATAAACTTCAATTTACTAGCCATAATGGCTGGGTCCACACAACCTAAGCCAAAATCAAACTCACCACATAATGCCTCAATAGAAAGGTTCATTGTTGCCTTAATTGCTTGGCAACCTAGTATCAAATGGTCTCTTGGACCATTCAAACTAAATGATTAATTGGAAATGTGTTTACTGACATAGAATCACATTGTAGAAAACCTTTTAAGTGGTATGCAGAATATTTAAATATTGGAATGGATATTTTCTAAGAACTTGGGGAGGAAGCAGATTATATTTCTTTGTGGTAAACCCAAGGAATTTAGTGGGACCATCTCCTGATTAGACAGTACATTATAAATCATTAAGGAAAAAAAATCAATAACAATAAAACCTCTTAAAACTTAAGGGAAAACATGGCATAAAAATGAAACTGTGTTAATTTAGTTTCTGTAAAACTCACCTTATTTCTCTAAGGTTGAAATATGATACAGGCTCAATTATATTTGTAAAGATTTGCAAGTATCTGTCTATCATTTCCCTAGGCAATACTTAATTAAATGGGTCCAGGGTCAGTTTTTATCACATGTTGGTTTAGCTTGGCAATCTCTGAAGTGTTCAGAAAATTCTGCCACAGTGGTTGGTCAAAGTTACGGTTCCCTTTATCTCTAATTTTTCAAGGCCTAGTAAAAATTTAACATTTTTAAAATTTATATTTATTTATTAATGTTTTTTTGCCTCCCATCTCCCCTATAAGGTTACTCTGGGTGGCTTAATAGAAATGCTATGAAAATATACTCACCTCCTAGGTATCATAGCTTAATTAGACTCATTTATTTATTTACTAAATTTATATATTAGTTCATTTACAGGGACTCTAAGCAACATAGGAAAGCAATGGGGAGGCCATTTTCCTGGAAAACAAAGCAGTTTGTTATTAAAATTGAATATATTTTTCCTTTCTTGTAAATAGAACTATACCTAGTTGGACCATGCATTACTACACTAAGCCAGTTTGTTTTAACCATTGTGTGTTAAAAAAAAAAGATTAATTGGTGACTTTAAACATTACCTAAAACTATATAAACCCAAGTTTCCAAGCCACTGTGTTAGGTACTGCACAAACTAAGCCATAACTAAGCCAAACACATCACATTATATTTTAGCCTATTGTATGAATTACCGGTAAGCTTAATTGCCAACTTGGCTACTCATTGTCTCCTCCAGTTGACAATAGTTTTCTAGTGTCTTCCCCATCATCAACTAAATATCAGTTCTAATTACATGTAGTACAATCCTTGACTTACAATTGATTGTTTTCTTTAACAAGCATTCAAAGTTAACAACAGCACTGAAAATAGTGACTTACAACTCGTCTTAATTAGAGAAAAGTCTTTGATTGTGTTGATCATGTCAAGCAGTGGGAAGTGCTCAGACCAATGGAAATCCTCGAACATTTCGTTATCCTCACGGGAAACTTGCATACATGTCAGGAAGTCACAGTCAGGTCAGAACATGATGAAACAGACTGGTTCCAGGTTGGCAAAGGAGTGCAACAGGGCTGCATATTCTCCCCTTGTTTATTCAATCTGTATGCTGAAGGGAAGTTAGATTGGAAGAAGATAAGCATGGTTTTAAAACTGTCAAGTACCAGGGAACTCAGGAGATTCAGGCAGTTCAAGTGGGTATAAAGCTTTATTGCAAGCTTAAGCTCTTTACAAGAATCTGAACTACTATCAGTCCAAGAAAATTGGTGTTAGATAAGAGTCAGTTGAATTCAAAGTAGGCTGGACTTAGATGTCTTATAGGCAAGAAGGGACTCATGACTGATGACATGTTTGACCCCTCCCTCAGGCTCAGGCTGGTCATCTCCTACAAAAACTAGAGGAACAAACATCAATAAACAGCAATAATAAATTACCCTGATAGCTGAAAATGTAAAGTATCTGCAACAGGGGTGAAATCCACTTACCTTTGCATTGTGAGTGCGTGAGCCTCCTCCATACATGCGCAGGACCCTCCACGCATGTGCAGAGTGTGCCTGCAAAAGTAAGCGAACAGCGAGGGGAGGAATCTGCTGTGCCACGCGATTTAGATTAGCTAGAAAGTAGGAAACCCTGCTTTTTAGCTAATATAAATCATGTCTCATAGCTAATCGCAGGAAAAACGGGTTTGCCCAAACCAGTAACATTTTTTTTTTGCCTGGTTTGGGCGAACAGGTAGCATTTTTACTACCAGTTCGGGCAAACCGGTCTGAATCGGTAACATTTCAGTCCTGATCTGCAAGCCCTAATACTACAACTAAAAGAGCTCAGGGAAAAAATGGGACTAAAATTTACTTGAACTTAGTAGAATACAGCCACAAAGTCTTTGGATTCGGTATTCAAATGCTGCGATGTGTCTACACCTACAAAGTACAGAATCATGCAAGTCATGGTATTCTCTGTGACACTCAGTGAAAGTTAAAATTGAACTTTAAGAAACAGTGTGAACTTTGGTGTGGGAGAAGATTCCTGAGAATACTGTAGACAGCTAAGAAAACAAATTGATGGATCATTGAACAACTCAATGCCCAGTTCTTTCTTGAGAAACAGATTACCAGGAAAAGGTTCCCTATTTAGGACACCTGGCAGAAAGAACCCAGTTCGCTGCTTTACTATGGTTGCTAGGAGTTGAAAATGACTTAACAACCATAATCAAAAATACTTAACAGTCAACACTAAAATAATCAAATAACTTAACAGTCAACACTAAAAATGATTATACTTTCCATAAGAAGTTTATTTTCCAAGGCCTAAACTTGAGAACTATCACCTTCTAGCAATGATGAAAATACTGCTGCAGGCTTTACCTCAGTGTTTGTGTTTTGTTTGTATATTTTGTATGTGGTGGGATGTAGTATCACTGGTTCTGCTGGTTTCATACAGGAATAAAGCAGTTTCCCCAGGCAGAAAGCAAAGTGGTAAACTATGACGCTCATGATTTATTTCTTTGTGTTGCCATGCTGATATAAAAAGGGAACAACTGAAATGTATGCATATATGAGATTATGTCTTCCTGAAGAGTGTACTGAAAAAAAGCTGTGGTTGTTGGAAATTGTAATGATATATAGAAAGCCACTGTGGTGGTTATGGTGCTGTCCTAGAAACCAGGAGATTGTGAGTTCTAGTCCCACATTAGGCATGAAAGTTCGCTGGGTGATCATGGGCCAGTCATTCTCTCTCTCAGCCCAACTTACCTCACAGGGTTGTTGCTGTGGGGAAAATAGGCGAAGGAAGAAATATTGGTATGTTTGCCTCCTTGAATTGTACACGAAAAAGGGCAGCATTAAAAAAAAAACTTGGAGGACAGGAGGAAAAACTGTAGTTTAGAAAATGATAAACAAAATCTGAGTTAGAAGGAGGAGTAGGAGTAGAAATGTCTCAGAAGAGTTTGGGGGAAAGTACAAGAAAGGGAAGGAAGATGTACTTTCATACATGCAAGATTCTGTTACTGTTGTCTTAAATGAAGTGTTACAATCACCATTACAGTATTTTTGGAGTATAAGATGCATCTTAGTTTTTTTTGGGGGGGAGGGAATAAGAAAAAAAATTCTGCCTACCAGTATTCATCTGGCTAGCATCCTTCAGCACAGCTTCAGCACATTAGTTTGCTGGTTGTGAGTGAGAAAGCGCGAGTCCAAAAACGCAAGCCATTGTCTGTGGCAATCTGCAGCCAGAAAGAGGACGTATGGAGGCCGAGGGGTGGGGGCTGGCGGGTGGCTGGGGCTACATTTGGAGTATACGACGCACCCAAATTTTCAGCCTCTTTTAGGGGAGAAGTGCGTTTTATACTTCGAAAAATACCGGGGTTCTGTTTGGACCAAATTTTCAATGGACTGGCAGAAATGTCAACTGGGCATATCTTTGAGAACACTTTATGTGAAAAAAATCCTACCTTTCTTGTCTTCACACTTTTTCAGAAATAAATTTTAGGATATCAGAGATGTTATATCAGCATAGATAACTGCTAGTATTAAAAGTGCCCAGTACAGAGGCTCAAGTTGTATTATCAGTTGCATTTTGAGCAAAATCACTATTTTTTTAGGGGAGCAGATGTCCCAAGTTCAGCTTAGGGACTTGAACAGAAGAAGCGAAGCAGAGTTGGATCTGCTTCATACATGGATAAGAAAAACCATCGGCACAAATACCTGGGAGTTGTAAAATGGAAACATAAAATAAAATCCAGAAAAGGCAAGGGCAATCTGCTTCCTATTATTGCCAAATACTACATGACCATGTGAATGAAGCCTTTAGGAGTCAAGTCACATGAGAGAATAATTGGAGTTTTTTAAGCATTGAGGGAGAAGTAAGAGACTATAAATAAGCTCCTTCAGGGTTTAACAAAGCTTCCAGGTCTCATGTTTCCCTGAAAATAAGGCAGGGTCTTATTTTCTTTTGACCCTCAAAATAAGCACTTTGCCTTATTTTTGTGGAGGTCTTATTATTTTTGAGGTGCAGGAGGCGGCAAGCGTGGTCAACTCATGGCTGTTGCTGTGCTGCAATATTTTTGGGGAGGGCTTATTTTTTGGGGGGGTTATTTTAGCTCATGCGTTCAAAAGTCATATTGGGCTTATTATCTGGGGAGGTCTTATTTTCAGGGAAAAAGGGAATTACAGGGAAGCTTTCTGCAGTGTAAGGCACTCTCCTCTGGAGATTGGGTATGCGATTCCAAAGTTTGGGAAGGCCAGGGCTTCAATTTGCTCAGAGGGCCTCTATGAATAGAAGAGATCCTCTATTGCAGACCGGCGTAGCCTGCATGGAAAATGAATCAGAGAGGCAGTATTGCCTCCATTTTCCTTGATTTTCCTTCAATTTACATATGGATTTATTGAAATGCTTCCAGTAGATGCACATTATTATCAGCCTTGGAAATTGACACCTAGTTAATAGGCAAGAAATCAGACACTACATACTGAGTGAACTTATGGAGCCTTAGAAACCACACGTAAGCATTAATTTTAACTTGTTCTTATTCAGCTGAGAAAAAGAATCAATAAGGAGAACATTTGTACCTCAGGGTTGAAATGAGAGGCCCTTGCTGCTCTCTGAACTTCCATTGTTTTCTTGCAGGCATTTCATTACCCGAACTAGGTAACCTCATGATGATGTCTGCAAGAAAAAACAATGAAGCTCAGGAAGCACCAAGGCCCTGACTGCTCACGAGAAAAATAATCCTTTTGCAGGTCGGATGTACATACATACATAGAGAAAGCAATCTTTGCCAAATCTATTCTCTTCTATACTTAATCTGACAGGTTCTTTTTTTAAACACCCATTCTAAGCAAATAAACCCAATCTTTATATATAAAGTCAGTTCAATTCAACAGGACAATTAGGATTATGGGAATTATAATCCAAATGCAACTGGAGGGAACCAGGCTTGGAAAGGCCTCACTGAGAAACTTTAACAGAGAAGTAATAAATATGGACTGTCTGCTGGCACATATTATGCATGACTAATGCTATATTGACACAATCAGTGTACATGCCCTCTTTGTACATTGACCTGTTTCAGCTTTTTGAAAATGTAATTCTGAAGAGTCTGGAATCTGAGCCAAATCACCTCCTGGCTCTATAGAGCTAATCCTGAATGTAGAAAAAAAAAACTTTCGAATGCAAGAACTTTAATATCAAGAATCTCAACCCCTCCCTTCAGATACTTTAGCCTGTTGGAATATGTGTCCTGATTAAAAAATGGTTACTCTGAGTTTTATGATAAATGCATTACCACTACCATCTCATATGTTTCAGGAATGTTGAGAATATAATCCTTCAGTTTTCTAAAGACTGAAATAGCTATGCATAGCTGAATAGATATACCATTACCTTGTGTTGTTATTCCAGATCAGTCAATTGTAGAATCTTCTCAAAAGATGCAAGGAGAGCTGTGATTAAAATTTTGAACTGGAACTGGGGAAAGTTCAATGTAGTTGTTCACTTCACCATGGAGCTGATTGACTTTTGAGTCATTTTTTATTTTATTTTTCAGCACAATTCACTTCACAAGACTGTTGTTGTAAAGAAGAAATCTAGAGAAGACTTTCATGTAAGTCACCTTAAGCTCCTCAAGGAATAAGAATAGTCAGATAAAAGATAGGTAAGTAAATGAATTTTATATTTGCCTTGCAACATCTGCTGTTGTTTAAATGTAAGGGAAAACCAAACTGGCAGGCTCAGAACAGACAATGGGTACACTGGATTCATTGAAGAAAATGACCAGCATATTTGTTGAAACAATTGTGACCAGGTTACCTTCATATATCTATACTCCATGAACATTTTTAGGGATTAGTGACAGATTTTTGATGTTGGTCCAACACAGTGGTGGGTTTCAATTTTTTTAGAACCTATTCTGTGGGTGTGGCTAATTTGGGGGCGTGACTTGGCAGTCATGTGACCGCGCAGGTATGGCCAACTTGACATCACTCATGCATACTCAGTCACATGACCCCCAACAACCCTCAAGCCATGTGGCAAATTTTGGGACTCCTATGAAGGGGGGGGGGAGAGAGAGGAAAACCTCCCAAAAATAGACAACTGGAGGATTAAGGACGAAAATTAGGGAGCTTGGAGAAGGCAAGACAGAGAGGAATCCAGTAGAAAGCTATCACATCCTGGTGAAAGAACTTTGGGAGATCAGAGGTGGCAATACAGAGGGGAATCCAGGGCAAAGCTATCACACGTTGGGGAAAGAACTTTGAGAGAATGGAGGAGGCAAGACAGAGGGGAATCCAGTAGAAAGCTATCATACTCTGGAGAAAGAACTTTGGGAGAACGGAGGAGGCACGACAGAGGGGAATCCAGTAGAAAGCTATCACACGCTGTACAAAGAACTTTGGGAGATCAGAGGAGGCATGACAGAGAGGAATCCAGGAGAAAACTCCTGAGCTTGCCGTTGCTGTTTGGTGGATTGTGCTGCTGGACCTCTCCATGCTTCTCCGTTTACCACCTCCACTCCCAGGTAGGGGACTTGACACCGAATTGGCATAGGATAGTGCAGACGAGCGGGGGGAGTGAGCGATGGAGCCGAGCTGGCGCAGTGGTTAAATGCAGCACTGCAGGCTACTTCAGCTGACTGCAGTACTGCATTTTGGCTGTTCAAATATCACCAGCTCAGGGTTGACTCAGCCTTCCATCCTTCCGAGGTGGGTAAAATGAGGACCTGGAT